CTGCATTAGCGTCTTAAGATATTACTTAAGACGGTCTTGAAATAAGAATCGACTATGAATACCGGCCTTAGAGCTTTATGTTGCGAGATTCGTGGGATAAACTCACGCATGCGCGCTAGCATAAACCGCCATCAGTGCTGTACATATTTTACCATTATACGGTTATCGTTATGCCTCTCTTATAAAAGTATAGAATGTGATAATAATGCATCAGAGATTTTATACAATCAATGCGAATAAGATTGAATCAATTTTGTGGACAAGAGAAAGAGAACATATATAATAAATTCTGAGAAGCCTTCTCAGAATCGCTGCGTGCGAGTGAATCGAATGCTCGCTGAAATGAGATAGCAACATTTCTCGAGGAGACTCGAAGCCCGCCAGCTGCACCCGATCTAATATATCTATCTCGATTGACGCACGGCCTACCCAATGTAAACTAAGTGTAAAAATTTTTTCTGTATTTTTCTGTATTTTTTTATTCGAGGTCGCGTGAAGACGCTTTTCTTCAAAATACCGAAATCTAGAGGAAAAAAGTGGCCTCAGCCTGAACCTCAACAAAAATATTTATGATGTTTCTACAAAGTTGGACTTTATTGTAGCATTGTTCTACCAACTTGTATAAGATGCTTAAGTATCTCTCGGACTATAACTGATCTTTCTCTCTTCTGTTTATTTTAATTTTATTTAAAAAAGTTCCTTTAGTAAGATAAAAAAAACTAATCTCGAGATTTTTTTCGTAGTTGATTTGTTCGGCTCTTTCTTAATCTTTTAAATTGTCAATTGATCCATTATTGTTAATTGAAATTGTCTTATTATATTTCTAGACCATCGAAATGTTAAATGTTACTTGGGTCATGGCGGACTTCTCGGTCTTTCGGAGAGTGTTTACGTAGGTCTACCAATGATCTTAGTGCCGATGTACGGTGATCAGTTTCACAATTCTGCTGCTGCAGAGTCCAGAGGTGCCGCGGTGGTGGTTGCATACGACGATTTAATCGAAGAAACGTTAAGAAGTGCTCTGGACAAAGTTTTTAATGATACCAGGTACGCTTCTTCTGTTTGTTTTAATTTTAAAATGAGAAATTTGTTTCTTATACGGAAAAAAATGTTAAACGGAGAAAAATTCTGTTGAAATGTCCAAATATTTAGCTAGATATAAGTCTGAAAACAGTTTTGTTGAAAACTATCAAAATAATAAGAGCTTAAGTTGGTTGCTAGAATATCAAAATTTGTTGCAGCATTGCTTATTGTGCTTGTGAGACTTCGTAATTATATTTATGATTCAACAAGGTTATTTTTCAGACCTACACTATTAAAAAAGATATTAAATTTAATGTACTTTTAAGTTACACAAGTACACTAAATTTAATGTAACTAAAATATATATTTATGTACATTTGCATCAAATTTAATGTGATTTACATAAAATTTTTATAAAATTTAGTGTTCATGTATATGACATTTCAATATAGTGATAGTATATCAATGTACACATGCATGGAATGTAATTGTACATACGTGTATATGAAATTTAATAATCTATATGCGAAGTTTAATGCAAATGTACATTAAATGTAATGTACATGCACGTTACATTCAATGGGAATGGTTTACTTATACCACACTGTATAGCAATTGCTCACTCCCAATCACAGCGACTTCTGCATAGGGAGTTTATATATTTTTTTTCTAGTATTATGATTGGCTTGTGCGCAAGTGTGCAATTGATATATACTCACATTCAATTTAAAGGATAGGATCGTGTGTAAAAAGTATGATATGGCGTTACTAATACATATTGGGTGCATTCAGTACTACAATCGCTCACTGAGCACTCAGTGAGCGGTTGTAGTACCGAATGCACCCAATGTAATTTTTTTCGAGCGTTACAATTTAAGGTTAAGTCAATCACTTTTGATTATTGACATAATAGAAACGTTTACTTAGCTTGTTCATGATAATAGGGAGTTTTTGCAATATCGTTTATCCAAATACGGTGAATGCTAAGGTCAGGTTATGTTCTTCTTAACAACTACTTAAGGATAACGTGATTTTAACGTTTACTGTATCTGCAGTGGAATTCTGTAACTCGTTATGCGATCGTTATGTGCTCATAACGACAGTCGCACAGATATTTTATATAGTAAAAAAGCTGCGTAACTGTCGTTATGAACACATAACGACTGCATAACGAGTTATGCCTCCGGCACACCGGCGTGACGAACATCGCGCTGGTGTGCCGGAGCCATTACAGAATACAGGGGCTAGATTCACGTTATTGCAAAAATTCCCTATTAACTATAAGGTAATCGGTTTTTTATTTGTGTTATTTTTGAAGTTAAAGAAGTTGAATTTAATATTCGAATAGAATACATGACAAAAAGAACAATGAAAAGGGATAGAAAGATCGTTTATTTTTCTTTCTTTGGAAAAAGAATAAAAGAACGTATGCAGGCTCAAATATACAATTCATCAAAATATCTTTTGCTTTCAGTTACCATGAGAATGCCCAACGGCTTTCGAAAGCTTACCGTGATCGACCTGCCACGCCGATGGAGACGGCGATATGGTGGACGGAATACATCGCCCGGGGCAATGGCAGATTTTACTTCCGTAGCGACAGCACGGGTTTATCCTGGTACCAGCGTCATCTTGTCGATATAACACTTGTTTTGATTATCGTCTCCATGATGTTCATATACATCCTCTTCCGATTGATCAAACTGCTATCGTCGTTGCTCAGATTCTTCAAAAGAACATCTAGAAGTCAGGTCGGGGAGAAGAGAAAGTTGAAGAAGGACAACTGATTATGTTGTATCGTCTTATTGTGTCGATAAGAAAGCGATTTTCGAGATAAAAAAAAAAGAAGAGAACGTGGTCTTTCACATTAAATTACGGGCGAATTTTTAACAATGGAGACGGAATGATATTCAAATTTCGAATAGAAATAAATCGGTTAATGCGAAAAATCCGTTTAGTAGAAAATTTGTTGGAGGAAATAAACTCTTGCGATCGTTTGTCATTAGCTCTAGTAAAGGGGAAAAATTATTTATTTTTTTCTCATAAAGTTTTGAGAATTTTTTCAGAATTTTTTATCAACTTTTCAGTACTGCATTTTCTTATTTTTATCAACATGAGAAAATACGGTATTAAAAAATTCTGAAAAAATTCTCAGAACTTTATGAGAAGAAAATAAATAATTTTGGTCTCTTGCAGTTTTTCTGTAAAGTTGATAGTATTTGAGTGAAAAATTATTCAAGACCAATATTTTGCAATTTTTAGTAATTAATATCTTGTTAACTATTGCGAAAATTGCAAAATGGTAGAGGACTTTTCGACTCAGTTTAATCCGCTCTATCAACACAAAAGTAATTGGCAAAAGAGTTCGGGATACCCTGTACAGGAATACGCCGACGGACGCTGCCTCTCGCTGTCTCGCTCGTTCTCGCGGCGAAGACGGCCGACTCGATGCCGGTAGGTGTCTGCTTGGTGGGGATACAAGTGGTGGGGCTGATTTCCGTGTTGCCGGGGAGCCAAATGTGCATCACTGGCTGCGCGTACTTTTTTTTATAGAGTCCCTATAATAAGAGTCTAGACCGGAAGAACGCCATTGCCAGGCCCCGGCCAGAAACAGCAAATAACGCGCGCGCCATTCAAAGTTTCGGTAATAGTGAAATACAATAATCACAATATCCGTAATTGTTAATTAAATCATGTTGCATGTATACAGATTAGTTTGTCGACTTTAACTTACAATTTTTGCCTGCTGAAAGACGGGTTTCATTGACATCTTAAAAAGCCAATTTATAAACTTGAAGTACGATATATCATATAATTATAAGTATGTAGATATCTTTTTCTACTTCGCCGAATCAAAGTATATGTACAGCCAACGATATTAGTAACCAAACTTTTAGAAGATATGGAGAATAAAATACAAATAGTAAAATACGGAACTTGAAGATGCATACCTCTAACCTCATCTTTACATAGATGTTTGAGGGAAATGTATTTTAACAGACGATAATCTAAAAAATGATGCTAAATTATCGTAAATGATTACATAACAATAAAATGACAACATGATATATTATAAAAATTACAGAAATAAAGTGCACTCTCAAGCTGCAGTTTATACACAAGTTTCTTAAAACAGACTTTCATCAGGAGTAAGTTACATAATATTTGCAAACAATACAAAGTTTACATTTTAATCAAAAATTATTGGTTGACAGTCCGATTTCGCGTTCACGCCTTTTTGTACTACTACATCATAGCAGTTGCTCACATCAATTCACAGATTCACTATTACATCGAAAGGGGCCTACAAATGGCGGCGTCCAATCAGAGACGACCACCCCTCATGTCTAGACTCTCATTGTAAGGACTCTATTCTTTTTGAACACGAACTAGCGTCACCTATAAGCTAGAGTCCTAGATTTATCAGAGAGGCGCAACCGGTGTTATGCATTCTGATTCGCTGTTGCAATCTAACCAATTGCGTTACTTGGCATCCATTTATAGTACTAGTGACATATTTCTATTTCATTTTATCCTATATATTCTATCTCACATTATCCTACACGTCTTATCTTGTTTGACATAGTTTAAAGGCAGTTTCATAGCATGTCGGCCATGTTTAGTACTCTCCTTAGCACCTTTGTCATACTGACTTAAGCCGATTGCGCCTCTCTGATAAATCTAGGACTCTACTATAAGCTAACGGTGATAGTCCATTAACACGTACCAACCGCGCGAATACAAAACTATATGGGAAGCCTCTATATATTTTCTACAATCCTTTTCTGGGTACCTATCATAGAACAAGTCGGAATCGATTCCGATCGGAAATATTCAATTATTCCCTATATTTCTATTGTGTTTTCTAGGGAAAACGGAATAATTCTGATCGGAATCCATTCCGACATATTTCATGATAGGTATCTTGGATATCTTGAAAATTCACTTTACCATAGGAGGTTAAACTCTCATTCGTACATTTTCAAAGACGTCCGACTCGAATATCATCCCTAGTAGATTTTTATGCTTTTTCGATACTTCTATACATAAAGTTAGTTGAGAAATACGTCATAGTTCGCGTATGACTTCTTCTGCGGGAAATGCAGACCTTAAAACCGGCATGGAGCAAAGTCGTTTAATCTCTGGATAGTTTTTATGGTATCTAAGTATAAACGTTAACTAGAACTCGTTTGAACAGCGCATACATGGTGTAAAATTTATAGTTTACTAGTTTCTGATTTTTAATTTTTTTTATTTTATGGAAAAGTTGACAAAATTATCCTTTATATTCTGTAGACTTGCGTCACAGCAATAGACATATAAAGCGCGTTGTCCCTGAATGAAGAATATCTGGTACTAATTTATTCTTCAAAAGAATTCCCTCTAGAGTTAAGAAAATTCTTTTGATATATACCATATGTATTTTAGAACAGATCATTATAAAAATTAATAAAAAATTCTTAAGCTAAAAGTACAATTTTTTCGCTGTGGTCTATTAGAAAAGAAATTATCGTTAGAGTAATTTAAACATATTCAGCGATGCACGATACCGTAAAAAGATGAAACTGGAAAAAGTTTAAAGAAGAAGCAGTGTTTCTAGATTTTATTGAACTGAAAATTTTAATTACACGATATTTTTCTGCGGTAACAAGTGATAAGTTAATTTTAATTTAATATGAATTAGTTCTAACGAACGCGCGATAAGCGAAAATCGGTATTTCTGTTTATCGATGAAAAACTAACAGACGTGCAACGAATCAATAATATTGAAATTCAAATAAAGAGTAAAATAACTGTTGTAAATGTCTTATGTATTTGCATACTAGTGCAACAAAACATAAATATTATTCGTAAAAGATGTTCTTCCAGCCTAGATAAAACAAATAGCCGCCATATCTTAAAACTATCGTGTTTATGTGACGATTTATATTTGTTGCATTTTTGTAAGTTTTTGCAAGTTATCTTGCTGAACAAAATCATACTTCATATTATCGCAACTTCATCGACAACGTCGTCAATGAATGAGGGGCAAAAGTTAAATAATGTTTAACAGAAACCATATTTTGAATTACAGTATAATATTTCAGTCCTTTTTCCGTATAATGTAAATATTATTTTTGATGGTATTTAATTAGCTTTCACTTCCACTCTTCGTTCAGAATCAATGATTTATCAACGTCATTTATTAATCTTGTGCTTCCGCACGCGATCACATCACCGTTGGTCTCTTATTCGAAGTTTTTACGAGCAGCACAGGGGCGGAAGTGCCGACGGAATATTCCGGCAAGTATAATACACGTTTATGACGCGAGGGGGAAAACCGCGAGGCGCGCACCGCGAATCATCGTCTACCTATTGTTTTATTATAGACGACAGGATAAGGTTGGTTCCGGGGATAGTAGGGCGGTACGGTAATCTTTCTCTAGCAGCGTGAAATATGCATCTACAATTGCGAGCTTCACGGTACGCCAGGGATTATATTCTCAGCAGTCATACTTGTTGTTCTATTATACATGACGAGAGAAAGGTATTTCCCCTAAGAAGAGCTTTTTCTCGCCCCTTTCATCCCTTTTTTTTCTTGTACAAGAGGGGCCCAAAGTTTAAACTAGTCTTCCGTCATAATGTTCCTTTCCTACATCGGAAATATTTTTATTACAGATTTTAATTTTGCGAGCTGACGGGACTATAGCTCTTCCTTTGTCGAGATATTGTATGTCGTACCATGATTTCAATAATCCATATAGCAAAATCAAAGCTTGAACAACATACAGAATTATTATCAATCCTTTTAATTTGTCTGTAATAATTTGTTAAAATTACATAATAGATTAAAATAGTTTAACCAACATATTATGATATTGGATTTAATATACAGTAAATGCGTAAAGTATTATAGAGGAGATTTTTATAAAAATCCCCTATTTGTAAAAAATAAATATTAATTAGCAATTTATTAACAAAAAATGCGTCAAAATGTCCTAATGTTAACAAAAGAGCTTTGCGAAAATAACTGTTTTTATGATTTTATCAGCTTTTCTTAACCGTCAAATACTTCCTATATAAGTATATACGCTTGTATGTACTATCATATAAAATATACTAAAGTAAGAGAAGCGCACGCGCGCGCGCGCGCGTATACAACAAGAGGATCTATAAAAAATTTTGAATTAAGGGCTTGCTGTCATTTCGTCATGTCAGTGCATCCTAGCTGCTTTTGGTAATCGTGAATCAAGTTTGTCTTTCACAACGGAGATCCACGGGAAATTTGACTATACTATCATCATGTTCTGTGTACGCGGCAATCTACGAAAATAGGATTTTTCGAAATTATACAGCCCAATCCTTCGACTTAAAAACGACATCGATCATCTTCTTGACGCGAGCATACAACCACATCTGCATATATACTTTGACCATTTTACATCATATCATTCATATATGGAACATGCATTATTTTCCTCCCGTTTTCTTGAAATTCTTGATGTCTGATGAATCTTGATATTTTATATTAGAAGAAAAAGATTATTTGTTAAGTGTCATATTGATATATATATATATATATATATATAAAAGAAAATATCAATTAAAAATACCCCCATATATTATTGAACGTCCTTTAAGGAGGTTGTAAGGAGAATGCAATATGTTAAGAATTGCTTGAAATTTGAAACATAACTTTATCTACAAAGCATGCTTTTAGTAAATTTTTTCAGATTTTTTGACCAGCTCATTTCTCTGTAAATGAATAACAAAATTCTGGATTTTATAATAGACTATCTCTCTTTCTCTTATAGGAGACTCGATTCTATGTATCTGTTTTCAATTAATATTAATATTTGAAATGTTAAGAATCGAATAAATTTATGTTTAATATATAGATAAATAGATCCAAATCTCCCCTAACCTCAATCTCTTATTTCTCTCTCCTTTTCCCGCCCCAGCCCTTTTCTTCCACTACTCCCACACTCTCACATCCTTCCCTCCACTCCCTCTCTCACATCTCTCTCTCTCTTC